GGAGATCAGTCCTGGGTGTTCCATGGAAGGACTGATGTTGAAGCTGACACTCCAGTACTTTGGGCACCTCATGTGAAGAGTTGACTCATTTGAAAAGACCCTGATGCTGGGAGGGGTTGGGGGCAGGAGGAGAAGGGGACGACAGAGAATGAGATGGCTGGATGGCATCACCGACTTGATGCACATGTGTTTGAGTAAACTCTGGGAGTGTGTGATAGACATGGAGGCCTGGCGTGCTGCGATTCATGGGGTCGCAAAGAGTCGGACACGACTGAGCGATTGAACTGAACTGAGGCCTGTGCAAGGCACAAACACACATGATGGCCTTGCTTTGAAGGGATCACCAACTTCACAGCCAAGGGCCCTAACCCATGACTAGGTTTATTGCCCTGTTTAAATATATTTTAATCAGCTACGTTTGAAATTCAGGAGGCCCAATCTAAAATACAGATTTTGGGCTCTTCTTGAAAGATGTGGTAATATACCACTTTCCTTCTCCCATGGCAACAACAGGCTGGAGTCAAGCCGTGCTGCTAACTTCTTGCTCGGCAGACCTGCGTGCTCCCTATCACCCCAGCTGTCTCTGACTCAGAGACCCAGTAGAAAGTGTCCTTCCTTAACGCTTTGTGTTGTTTTTCCTAAAGCCGATCAGTTTCATTCATAATGTGACTGCCCAGCCACTGTAGGCTTTTAAGCGTCCAGTCCCTGTTACAATCTGTCTCTCCTTTGATCATGGGGTTTCCCTGGTGGCTCAGATGGTAAAGCGTCTGCCTGCAATGCGGGAGACCCGGGTTTGATCCCTAGGTCAGGAAGATCCCCTGGAGAAGGAAATGGCAACCCACTCCAGTACTCTTGCCTGGAAAATTCCATGGGTGGAGGAACCTGATAGGCTACAGGGTGACAAAGAATCAGACACGACTGAGCGACTTCACTTTCTTTTCTTTTCTCCTTTGATCACAGGGTGACACAGAGCAGCAAGTTCGAACCTTACAGCCTCTTGGTTCTTAGTTGTAGGACAAAAAGCAAGAGCATTTCTCTGAGCCCTGCTGTATTTCACTGTTTACTATCTGCTCTTAGTAGGGCCAGCCCAGGGCTTCCCAGGTGGCTCAGTGGTAAAGATTCTGCATGTCAATGCAGGAGCTGCAGGGATGCAGGTTCGATCCCTGGGTCGGGAAGATCCCTCCTCCCTGGAGGAGGAAATGGCAGCCTCATGGCTCCTCTTAGGGTCACAGAAGAGTCAGACATGACTGAAGTGACTGGGCATGCATGCACATAGGGCCAGACCAAACCTCACAACAGCATGGGGATATCTTGAATGTTGCATTTCTGGACTTCCTATTGTTTAAGCAATCTCACACTGTTCACATCTTTAGGGTTATGGTGAATTGAAGAAAGGATAATGGATTTGCATTGTGTGTAGGTTTCAGGGAGAGTTAGGTTTCTTGGAGGACACTGTTCTTGAGCTATTTTTAGGAGAAGGTGAAGGAACCCAGGAGCTGGATGACTATTTCAGACTGAGGGCTGGGACAAGGAAGGACAAACTGCTCAGGGTGAGAACGGAGAGCCAATGCCTGGCACTCCGGAGGATTTTCTAGGCTGTGTCTTTCTCCTCTTCTTTGCAGAGGTTGGTCCTATTTGTGATGCACATCTCCTACAAGTGTTCAGCCAGAAAGATCTGCTGAAATAAAGGCCATCTGTCCTCAAGGCTGAATGCCAACTTGTAGGGATCTCCCAAGGAATATGAAATAAGAAAGTGAATTTATTCTAGAGAAGGCAGACAGACCTGACTTTGATCCCCTATGGGCTTGGACACTCCCTGACTTTCAGTAGATGTCCAGAAGCCAGTGAGGTCAGGCTCCCCAGTTTTCCAGAACTCCTAGGAGAGTACCAGCCTTCCAGAAGCCACTGTGTAGGTGAAGGTGTCTCTTTTTGAATCAAGGAAGAAGCATGCTGGTGTGCAGGGTGCAGTGGGCAGGTACTTGGAGGAACCAAAATGCTGTCTATTTGTGATGCTTGAAAGACACAGGCCTGGGCAAGTGACAGGTGATCTGGAATGAATGGATCCACTGTAAAATGGGAATGAACAGAGTTCCTATGCCGTGTGGAGATGGACAGGGCTGGGACTTATTGGGCATAAAGGTCAGTTATTAAGGAGAAGCTTTGATGTGCGGGTAAGTAGAGAAATGGGATCACTGAGGTGAAAATGGATGGGAGGTCAAAGAAGGGATTTTCTTGTTTGAGAGAAGAGAGAAGAATGCGCTTGTTAGCAGAAGGGAAGAATCTAGTAGATAGCAACTGACGCTGCAGGGAGAAAGGGATGACGGCAATGTCCGGGAGAGCGTGAGAGGCAACAGGATTTAGAACTTACACAGGGAGGTGAGCCTTGGCTAGAATGAAGATCTTTTTACTCGGTGCAGCAGTGAACACAGGTGGACCTGAGGACAGCTGCAACCCGGGTAGCGTGATGGTGGGAAAGCAAGTGGTTTTCCCCCAGACTGAGGAGTGGCATTTAATCAACGTGGAACTTAGGACACGGGCAGGTAGGAGGAGGGGGAAGGGAAGTGGGAAATTTTGAGGTTTCCTAGTAGCACTTGGTTCAGTGGTAAAGAATCTGCCTGCCAAGCGGGAGATGCAAGAGACATAGGTTCGATCCCTGGGTTGGGAAGATCCCTGGAGGAGGAAATGGCGACCCACTCCAGTAAGCTTGCCTGGGAAATCCCATGGACAGAGGAGCCTGGCAGGCTCCAGTCCATGGGGTGGCAAAGAGTTGGGCACGACTTAGTGACTAAACAACAACAATAAAGAGCACGTGGGTGCTGAGTGTCTAAAGCACAGAAGACAGAGACAGGGAGTGGGGGACCCCAGGGGGGAAACACATTTCTCTCTTTGTGGTTTTACTGAGGCTGCCTACACTAGTGCTGAGCTGATGAATAGTCCCCGGAATCTTTGACACGAGTGCCCACAGACTGCCTCTTCCTGATCTAAACTGGAAATCCTCTCAGAAACCAGATTCTGCGGAGTTGATCAATGAAGATCAAGAAAGAATAATCCTCGGTGGGGAGAGAAGTTAAGACAAGTGCTGGGGAACCCACCTCGGCCCAGTGGCCCAGGGAAGAGGGTCAGAGTACATATCACCAGGTAGTGACTCAGATTCCAGTGTTCCTCTGAAGCCAGGCCTGGGATCAGGGCCTCAGCCGAGACACCCGCCAGGTCTTGCCGACTGAACACTGTCACTCAGAGGTTCTTTCACTCATTGATGAAACCACAAGTATGGGGAGAGACCTTATTGAAGGCTGAGATTTAGGCAAAGTGAAGCAAGAAATGCTAAACCGATCACTGGAATGCTTTGGAATGACTTTCTTCTTTTGCCTGCAAAATCACCATGTGGGTGGCAAAACTGAGTACATATATATATTTTTTCTAATCACTGACTCAGCCCAGTAGTAAAGTAGGGATTCTGCCGTAAAGCTTGATGTGGTCAGAATGACTCAGAGGGACAGCTCAGGTGGGAAACAGTGGGACACTAATTTTGCAGCTTGTTAAAGACACAGGAAGCTTAAATAACATGCACGATTCTGCTCTAAATTAGAAGGAAAGTAACAATGTCAAGCAAGGATCCATTTCCTGACAATTCAAGTGGTAGAATGTGTTTCTTCTGATCTCTTAACTGAACTGCAGGACTCTATTGGATAAACTGTATCAGAATAAAGCACTCTGGACATGCTCTGGTTGACTGGTTTGTTAGAATTCACTCCTATTGACTTTCTGTATCTTTGGTACCATCTAAGTAAGCACTGTTCTGGTTAAATACAGGATTATTTGATCAGATTCCATTGCAGTCCTCACAGGCATTCAAGGCAAGCAGCAATTTAGGATTTGGAAAAGTGGTTTTCAATTTTTTAAGAAAATAGAACTCATGGTACATTTTCTATCACAGTCCAGTGTGTAAATACACACTGGTTCTAAAGCAAGCTGGAAATGTCCCACAGACCATTATCTACTCTTAGAATGTATATTGTATTCTGATCTATTCTACTCTGTTCATTAAAAAAAGCTGCTGGAAGCCTACAAAATTGAATTTGTACCCACTCATGCATTGGGTTGTGAAGCAGTTAAAAGAAACACAGGTCTGGAAAATGTATTAGTTAAATTAAATCAAACCAAACAAACACATAGATATCAAGATCAGAGTAGCAGTTACCGGAGGGGCAGGGGTCTTGGGTGGGGAGGGCAGAATGGGTCAAGGGTCTCTACTGTATGGTGATGGATGGAAACTAAATTTCTGGTGGTGAGTAGGTTGTAGGGTATACAACTTGCATGATTTTCCTTAAGAACTTCAGTAAAAACTTTTTTTTTTCTTTTAAAAAATCAAGTTGCAAGTTCATTGAGATTTGGTTCAGTTGCTCAGTTGTGTCTGACTCTTTGCCATCCCATGGACTGCAGCATACCAGGCTTCCCTGTCCATCACCAACTCCCAGACCTTGCTCAAACTCATGTCCATCGAGTCGGTGATGCCATCCAACAATCTTATCCTCTGTCGTACCCTTCTCCTCCAGTCTTTAATCTTTCCCAGCATTCAAGGTCTTTTCCAATGAGTCAGTTCTTCGCATCAGGTGGCCAAAGTATTGGAGTTTCAGCTTCAGCATCAGTCCTTCCAAAGAATATTCAGGACTGATTTCCTTTAGAATGGACGGGTTGGATCTCCTTTGATTAGGAAATAATGCTAAAAAACAAAAGGCTAACCATCATCTGAACCTTCAGTAAGTCACAGTAGCAAAATCAAAGATCATACATGACCAAAACTACTATAATAATGGATTAGCCAAAAAGTCCCTTCAGTTTTTAAGTAAAAATAAAAGACACATTTTTCATTTTTACCATGAACTTTATTGAACAACGTATTTACCATTTTGTTCTACTAAATTCTGTCACTTTTCAGGTAATTGCATAATTGCATCCTCTCAAAACTTTTAATCTTTTTTGAGCAAAGAACTGTTCCAGGTGCCTTTTACCGTCTTCGAGGAAACTTTTCCACTGGAGAAATTTTTTCCATTAAGGGAATCTGTAAAGATGGAAATAAATGGAAATCCAAAGGTGCAATGTCTGATGTATATGGCAGATGAATTAATGTCCTAGCCAAGCTGTAACAGTTTTTGCCTGGTTATCAAAGAAACACATGTTCTTGCATTATCCAGATGGAAGATTTTGTGTTTTCTGTTGACTAATCTGGACAATTTTTGTGAAGTGCTGCTTTCCGTTGGTCTAATTGAGTAGTATTTGTTGGAATCAATAGTTTGGTTTTCCAGAAGGAGCTGATAATAGAAGTCTCCCTTCCAATCCCAGCATATACACAATATAACCTTCTCTTGATGAAGACCAGTCTTCCATGTAGTTGGTGGTGGTTCATTTTGCTTTGCCCCACATTCTCTTCTGTTCCACATTATTTTGCCATATTCACTTTTCATCACCTGTGACAATGTGCTTTAAAAATGGAATGTTTTCATTATGTTTAAGCAGAGAATCACATCCAGAAATATCGTCAAGAAGATTTTATTCACTTAACTATTGAAAACAACCAAGCTGGTGCAAATGACTTTCAATGCTTGATTTAGAACTTTTGAGTATGTCGGCTATTTCCTGAATGGTATAACACTGACTGTTCTCAATTAATGTCTTGATTTGATCGCTATCAACTTCAAATGGTCTACCCAACTGAGGAGCATTGCCCAGTGAGAAATCTGTAGCAGGAAACTTCACGAACCACTTCTAACATGTTCAGTTAGTACATTGCACAAATCTTTTTTTGTGTTTCTGTTGCATTTTTACCTTTCTTGAAATAATAAAGCATCACATGCCAAAAATGTTGGTTTTCTCTTCCATCTTCAATATTAAAATGGTTATACAAAAACTCACCAGTTTTGTTAAGCTTTCTTTAATGCATGTCAATATGACAGCTGTCACAATACAATCTACCAAAATTGTTTCAAAGTTAAAGACAACTAAGCACTACTAGAGCCACTGTACAGAAAAAAACAAAATGAATCTTTTGGCAAACCAAATAAGAAAAAAAATAATTAAAAAGTTTGAAATAATGAGAGAATTCTCAAAATGGGCAGAGACACATGAAATGAACATGCTGGAAAAATGGCATTGATAAACTTGTTCAACACAGGGTTGCCACAAACCTTCAAGGTTTAAAAATGTATCTGCAAAGTACAATGATCAATGCTAAGCTACAAAGTAATGGGTGAAAACATTTCAAAGATTAAAAATTAAGCAGAACAGTCTCTCTAAACATACTGAAATTCAGTTAGATATTAGTAAAAAAAGGAAATTAGGAAGTTTTTCATACATTTTTGGAAATTAAGAAAATTCCCTTCTAAATAATCCATTTTCTTAAAGAGAAAAACATGGACATTAGAAGATATTTTAAAATGAGTTATAATAATGATATGAAATTATCAATATTGGAAGTACAAAGTTAAAGTGTGCTTGGATGGAATTTTATGACTTTAAATATAGATATTAGAAAAAAATAGGAACAAAAATCAGTAACTCCAAGCACCAGCTCAAGAAATTAGAAAAAGTGAAGAGAATTAAACCCAAAGAATACAATATTCTACAGTATGTAGAATAAAATATCAATACCAGAAATCAATGAAAATATATAACAGACACGATCATCTGTTCACATCCAACATATCTGTGTCTTCTTGACTTCACGTGATTCAGTGATCATACTGACAACCTCTACACTCATTGCGACTGCATGTGTTACTTTAATATACTTTTTTTGTGCATGTTTACTGACCAGTTTTCTAATTACTGACCAGTTTTCTAGAGTTAAAGAAATTATCTGCCTAACTTCAATCAAGAGGGTTGACATTCAGTGGATGGGGTAATAGAGAACTTTGGGTTAGCTTGTAAAGTTGGGAATTAAAAAAGCAACTCTATATCATGGTGAGAAATTTGAAGGTTTAATACCCTCAAAGAAACGGAGACAAAAGGGACTGTCTTGAGCTTTGAGTTAAAAACAATCCATAATGTATTTTTCACTAGGCTGCTTCACAATTCCCAAGACTATGTTTTTACTATCAGAGTAATCAGAAAAATCTCCAATAAAAAAATTAATATAAAGTCATTCTGATCAGTATTTCAAGTGACTGGCAAAAGCAACAGAGAAAGGAAGAAATACTTTTCAGCCAATCTGTACAAAAATCCTACATAAATATATCTGCTGAAATTGATAAACCAACATTAAAAAACACAAAGGAATAATTCACCACAAGCCAGCATTAGTAGAATCAGAGTCACAGGAGGCTTAGATATTAGCACTATCAAATATGTGTTTGTATATACATAGATTTGAGAATTTCTAGAAATTAAAACACAGTCACTATCATTAAACTTAACAAAAAAATCAAGTGGCATATTACACAGCTGAAGAATGATTAAGTAAACTGAAAAATAATCTTAAGCAAATTACCCAAACTGCTACTTAGTCTGAGTATCCTCAGATTTATTGCTTCTGTTACATATTTATCATTCTCAGATAGCAATATATGATAAAATGAAAACTTCATTTGTTTATTAGCTATTCTAAACTATTTTTTACTCAGCTTAATCACAGTTCTTAAATTAACTGACCTTTGGCCCTTGGCTACATACAATGCAATGGTTCAATATTTTAATTTACATGAATTACCTTAACAAAATCTCTATCAGTCTTCTCCTTCCATTCTTCTCCAAATACAGTAGAAAAGGATCCTAAAGCTAAAAGAATAAATAGCGTATTCAGTAATATGAAATTACTTCTTTCACTTAGTTCCTGAATAGGTAGGTTTGGAGAAACAGTAAAAATACACCTTAAGATACCTTGTTCATTAAAAATTGCTTCATAATAAATGATAGAAAGTCATGATAACTTCTCTTGAAATACAGTTTTTCAAATTACAGAATTTAAAGAAAGTTTTTGTCACAATTTAAAAACACACAACTGGCTTTCATAACAGTTAGACAATAATAATTACCCTGCATTAGTTATCATTTGTAGAAGAAAAAATATTAAAAAGTCAAACTGATGCTATTACTACTAGGTTCCCAAACTTTTATAATCTTAAATATTCATTCATTTCAAAGATAATTATATAATTTATATTTGAAATATTAATGGGCAAGGCATTCTTTAGGAATAAATCTTTAGAAAACATTCTAAGTCATATAGCTGATTTACATTTCTTGATAAAGTTGCTTTAGGAGGAAACTCAAACCATCTATTTTCAAAAGCTTCTTCTTAGTAACACACTACCCCCCGCCTCTCACAACAAAGGTTGAGGTATACAGATACATGTTATACTGTTTTTCTTCATCTCTATGTTGCTAACTCCCTTTGTCAGCTATGGGACTAGACAGTAAAGTCATATAATACAAATTTCTAAACTGTGACACAATAGGCATCTCCCTTTAAAAACCAGGTAAGTACTTTCATCAACTATATAATTACCTATATTCTATAATGAAAGCTACTGGTTTTCAAATGAAGAAGAAAACTACATAGTGGCAACTGTTAACAGAAAAACTAGCTTTATGAATTTGATTCTTCAAAAAAATAAAAGTAAGCCTTCTTAATGGATGTGTTAATAACAAGGATAACATGTATATATTTTCTGTTGTAAAAGATTTACTGAATGTTTGTAGTCTTTTTACACCTTTAATTACAGACCTAATATTTACTTACTATTGTGTGTGTCAGTCACTTAGTCATCTCCTACTCTTTGAGCCCCCATGGACTGTAGCCCGCCAGGTTCCACCGTCCATGGGATTCTCCAAGCAAGAATACTGGAGTGGGTTGCCATTCCCTTCTCCAGGGGATCTTCCCAACCCAGGGATTGAAACCAGGTCTCCTGCATTACAGGCAGATTATTTACCATCTCAGCCACCAGGGAAGCCAAGTAATATTTACATACTACATAAAATAAAATCTGTAAAGTACTTAGGTAAGAACAAGACTTTTCATTGAAAAAAATATTTAAAAAAGCATGAGGAATGGAAACAGTTTAACATTATATTGATATTAGAATCATGAGAACATGATATAAAGGGTAGATGTGAAGTTTTTAATAAATAAATTTAACTATAGTGACCTAAAGAAGAGTTTCATCAAATGTATACATCCATAGCAGCTAAATCAGAAAAATTAAGTCCATACACTTCTAAAGAAAGACAAGATTTTGTTTGTCCTGAAGAAAACCTTACAAGAAAAACTCCATGGAAAAAGAACACTGAATGCAAATATAAGAAGGAAAAATTAAATTTTTGTCACATGGAATTTTTATTATACTTCTTCAAACACATATCATGTATAAACATCCCACACATTCAAAAGAAGTGGCATATATATTTTCTCTCAATTAAAACTCCATGCCTAAAAAATTCAAAATCTCTCAAGAGCCTAATGAAATATATACATAATCATATATACCCTTAATATTTTCATAATGTAAAACCACTCTTTTAAATGTATATGGTCTTCATAAAGTCCCTATATACTCTGGAACTCTAAATTCTGACTATTGAAATAAAATATTCCTCAAATAGCACTTGCTAATATTAATTATTAATGATTGCTACTCTACATAACAATTTAGTCTGAGATAAATAAAAGTGCTAAAGAATGTCACACTTCAGCACATTAAAACTGGTAAACTCAGTTTATCACATATATACAAACGAAATCCTTATCCAATGATTAAACAATAAGAATTCACCAAAATTAGCAGTCTGAGAATATTTATTCTTTTAAAAAACTTCATTTTAAGATTTCTTAAAATGAGCCAATTTAAAACTCCATTCTGTATTAAATGCTGAAAAATGTCTTTAAAAGATCAAGATGAACTATTAGGAAGCAAAGAACGTAAAAGTGAGGTGGAAATCCAGAAAAGTTAGATCTTCACAGTTATAATACAAACTGATTAACTGCTGATCTTTGTTCCTCCTCCATGTAACCAAGAATAGTTTCAGAAGTTTAAGAAACTAATTTCACTTTAGTCTAATTTCAAAATGTCTTCATATAAAATAAATACATGTCAGATTTTAAGGAACCCTATTTAGGGAATTCCCTGGCAGTCCAGTGGTTAGGACTCTGTTCTCACTGTTGAGGGCCTGGGTACAATCCCTGGTTGGAGAACTGAGACCCCATGAACTGCGTGACACGGCCAAAAACAACAAGAAAAAGGGAATCCTATTTAGATAATCCCAAATAAAAGGATGCTTGAAAATTACAGAAAAATGAACTCATTTGCAAACATGCTCCTATTTAAAGATAAAAACAAAAATACTCATATACCTATGAAATATTACAAGAAATTCGCAGACTAGTCTGTATAATTTCCTATATGATAAAATAATTTCAAAATGGATCAATACCTTAAACTATTAATAGAATAAACTTCTGGTAAAAGAAGTTACAATGGTGTTGGGGTAGAAGGAGGATTGAGAAGCAAGAAGAAACTTTCTATCAATAACATTCAGCTGACAGATATTTTAAAAGGAGAAACTATAAGCAGGAAAAAATTTCAAAACCTGTTTTTTAAAATCCAATTACAGAATTGTGCAATTTGGTCTGAAGAGTAATCCAGATTTGAGATAATTTCACAGAAAACAAAGAACTTGATCTATAAAAACCTAAAACTAAAAAATCCTACAAGTAAAAACTATGAAATATTTGATAATCCTTATTTTGATTATTATGCAGCAAATTTTCAAGTGCATTGACCTAAACTAGTTAAACATTTTAACTGTACACCTGCAAAAATAGACATCAGAAAACTATTTCTTATAGGTCTAGTTTTCTCTATCAGAATTTTGTATCAAACAATTTCAAATCAACAAACCCACATTTATTCTAAGAAAAATGCAGCATTTTAATTTCAAAAGCTCTAATGAGGTTAAATATCTAATCTATTCAAATACATAAGGTTAAAAAAATCCAGACATTCATTTTAAATGATACATTTAATATAACAAAAGCAAATAAAGAATGCTATTATATTGACTAATAAAAATACTTTTTTCCTTAAAAACATTTCAAAAAAATCTAAACACCTTTAAGAGAATGATTATATAATACATTAAGCCTAAAACTTACTGTCATCAAACACCCCGGCATTAGCAAGTAATAATGTGATGATTTTAGGGTCTTTTTCAAGTTGCATGACATGTTTGCTTTCATTTGACAGGAGAGTGCATACATTAATAGCAAAGTCCACTTCATTTGGGAGTCCAGATAATAGTGAAAGCACCAGTTTATTATAATCATTTGGCGAATTGAAGTCCATAGATAGCCCATAACTTTGACGGAGATAATCTAACAAAGACAAAAAACAATAACACTGTTAAGTTTATCAAGGACTAGAAGTCATTTTGGGTTAATATCTTCTAAATACAGGATAAGCTTGCTTTCTTTTATAAAATACAAACTGAGTAGAAGTTTAGAGTCCAAGTTTTTTAACTCGTGAAAATTACACTCCTCAAAAAGTATTAAAATACAAGAAATATATATATACTGTGATATCACTGCCAAACTATTGTATCATTATTTTAATTTACCTAATCTACACTTTTTATTCTTGCATTTCAAAGAACTTTTTCTGATTTTTTTAAGTACCATAAAAAGCCTGGTTCCTTTGAAATTTTTAACAACTTCATGTTTCAAAACACATTGCCTACCTTATTTACCCTATTTTGGGAAGATTACTACTTTTTCAGGTAAGATTTTTTTGACATTTAATTAAAATGTAAAGTTCATGCTTTCAGTTCTACAGTTCTAGGAGTTCTGAAAGTCTTTCAACCACAACTGCAATGGAGATAAGGGAGTATTTCTATCATTCCAAAGAAGCTTCTTAATGCTCCTTAGTAGTTGATCTGTCCCCCTCTATCCATAAACAACCATTGATCTACTTAATTTTATTTCAAAATGCCAAATAAACAGAATCACACAATACTTTTATTTTTGTGTCTGATTTATTTTCATTTAGCAAAATGCTGTTGAGGTTGATACCCATTTTAATGTATGTATCAGTAATTGGTTCTTTTTTTTTATTGCTATGTGTTGTATGTCTTTATTGTTATATTATGGCTATAACACAATTTGTTTATCCATTCCCTAGCGGAAGAACATCTGGACTGTTTCCAGTTTTTAGCACTTCCGAATACAGTTGCTGATAACATTCACATACAGGACTTAATGCAGACGTATTTCTTCACTTCTCCTGGGTTGCTGGGTCATACAAAGTGCATGTTTAACTTTGTAGGAAACTGTAAAAGCTTTCCCAAGCAGCTGTAACATCTTGTCTTCCCACCAGTGACGTACGCGAGCTCCTGGTGCTTGTGCGCAAACTTGTCAGCACTTGGTACTGTCGGTTTAAAATATTCTGAATATGAGCCACTTATCTAATATTTGTTTTGTAAACATTTTCTCCCAGATAGTGAGTGGTTTCCCTTTTCATTTTTCTCAACAATGTCTTCAAAGAGCAGAAGGTTTAATTTTGATGGAGTCTGATTTATGAATTTTTACCTTTACAGTTCAAACTTTCGTGTTCTAACAAATCTTTTCCTAACTAAAATTTTATGTAGGAGAATTGAAATATTTTTATAACTTTGAAGATAGGGAAGATACGATTACGGAAAATGAATATATTATATAATCATAATATATATTAGAAAATGTTGTATTTCTATAATTACTGACTCTTAACTGGTGCAATTTAGGCCTTGACAGCTTTGTCCTGAGACATATACCCCTAATACATTTATTATATAAAGATTTAACTAGTGTAATGGGAAAAGGAAAGAAACAAGAGTTAGAAAACTGCTACACAAAACATTTCAGAAAAATATGGATTTGAAAAAAAATCTTTTAAGAATGTCACTAAATGGAATGCAAGTAGGACTCTATTGTCACAACATTCCACAGAAGAAAATCACGTAGGTAAGAAACTTCATTTCCCAGTAGATATTTGAAGAGACCCTTCTTCAACATTAAAATGTTCTAGGAATTTCTCCATTAAGTATCACAATACAGTTATAAATGAATTGACACAGATTCTTTATAATATTTAAGGGTGAACAACAATACATTGTTCATGTCTTATAATCTTGAAAAATTAAATTTCTCATATATAATATAAATATCTTGGGAAAATGTAACATAACTTCTGTGAACCTAGAAATACATTTTGGTATTTACTGCACACTGGAACTGATCATGAGATGCCAAGTTTCAGCAATAGTTAAGTCTTTAGATTCCACAAAATTTTCAGGCAAATTTCCAATAGAAATAAAAATCTGGAACCCATAATTGAACATCTGTCACAGTCTTATTGTGCTTTCAATATGATCTTGGAATTGTTCTGTTTGCTACTGAAGAATAACAGATACCACCATATACTCAATTCAATACATCCTTAGGTGAATGACTTTGCCAAAAGACATCGCCAATTAAAATAAAATAAACTAATATGATAATTATGAAAAGTCCTTTAACTATATGATGTGTGGTAAAGATTCCTTCCTAGGAATCTAATATAAGAGAAATGCTTACAAGGTTTTAAGAGCCTCCCTTCCCATCCCCAAGGAGGTATGTTTGAATAGGTAAAATTTTATGACAGGAATAATGAGATCACGAATTTTCAATGTTTTGACGCAATGTCTATACAAACACATCACTGCTGACAAAGTTAACTGAATCTGAGGTAATCAGTTTAGAGGAAAGGGAGAACTGTTCCTGGAATGTTGTCTATATTACAGATATCATACAGTATACTCTTTCCATTGATATGGCAGTGACTGCTGTAGTTCAAGTATCTGTAAGAAAACAGGACATGTAAAGGAAAATCTTTGCTGAAATATTAATACAACTGATAAAATCAAAATAATAAATCTTCCTGTATAAAGCTTTTCCAAATTTAAGTAACAAGAACGTAAATGGATAGTGTGCTTGGCCTCCTTTGGCCAAAATGATGGAATTGGATTAAATAATCACTAAAACCCTTGCTAGCTCTTAAACTCTACAGTACTATTAATTTCAGTGTGTTCGTCATGTGTCAGTTTCACCTTTCAGAATTTTTCTACTAAAGATACTGCAAACAAATTAAAGAATTTTAATTTAGAAATTAATTTTTTAATTTTAAAGGGAAAGAGAAGATGAACAAAAAGTTCTTAGTAATCTACAGCACAATTCTGCAGAACTGACTATATCCAAATCAATACCAAGGAAGAAAGAATAAAGAAGAAAACCAAAAGATTAGGTCCTCATGGCAAGGAAAAATATGCACAATTATGCAAATAAATGACAAAATCACCATATTTTGATCCCGAAGTTTAATAATTCTAAAATTCAAAGCAAAATGTACCTAATACTTTTTTGGCTGCTTAAAGTCACTGGGCAAAAGGAGACAATAGCCTTATAAAATTTTCGTTCCATATTCTATCAATGTACAATATTCTACTATGACAATTATGAGTAGAATTGTAATTCATACTAAATGCCAATTTAAATTTATCATATTACCTTTCAAAGTATTGTTTTAGAATAGCTTTTTTAAATGTAAGCATCTCTAGATAAATACATGTATCCAAATACATCAATCCAAACCTACAAGGAGAGTAAGGCTATATGATCAAAGATGTAGACACAAATCTTTTAAATGTTCTAACTAAAATATCCTAAGGCTTTTAATCTACCACTATGTAATTCTACTTTGGTATTTATTTAAATACATACAAACATACACACTGACAGCTATGAAGCTTACTATATTTCCTTAATGGCATTTGAAAAGAATCATTGGTGAAGGATTTGTTTTATATATTGATAGTCATGTTGATTTTTAGAACACTGTCATAATGTTGCTATGGCTCCTTCTGGGATAATAAAAAGCACCTTCAAATTCATAAGTGCTGCCCTGAAACGCTACCTCTTTTCAGTATGAATTAAATAAACTATGTTCCCCAGTAATTTCTATTTCTAATCAGTCCCCAATCCTGATTCTGTCAAACATGCTACATATGTTATATAACTGCTCAGATTCTCCTTAAACAACAAAAGACAGGCATATGACAGCATATCAGAAAGGAGTTATTACAACACCAGATTAAGAATTCTATCATTTCTTTAAAAATTGCATAGCTCTAGCAATGACTTTCAAGACTTCTGAAATATCAGAAATATCTTCTTTCTTGAAGTAAATCATATTTAAATCAGGGAAGGGGTCAGGGGAAGATCCAGAAAAGAATTTCATTTTAAACTAGATCTAATATTGAAATGGGTTAGCTTGATAAGTGTAATAGATACCAAGCTCTATTTAACCTGTAAGAGTGGACAGTTCCGTCATTGCTATAATGTAGCAGTAACAGAAAGTTACAGAATGGTCTTAAAGGTTACAGTGCCAGGTCTCATTCAGTGTAGAAACAGCCTCTATAACATCCTTGGATTAGATAATGGTCATTAGCTCTTCCTAAAAATGGGAAGCATATTACCTAACAAACCACCTCATTTTATTTAATCAGCTTAAACAGTAAGCAAGATCTTCTACATGATGACTTAAAATGTTCTCCTTTAACACTGGTTCCCGAGGTAATAACTTCTCGTTAAGAATATACGTGTTTCAAAGCTGTTCTCTTGAAACATCCCACCCTCGCCTTCTCCCAGAGTCCACAAGTCTGTTCTATACATCTGAGTCTCTTTTTCTGTTTTGTCCTCCAACTAATAAAAATAAATGGGAAAAAAAAAAAAAAGAATAATGGTAGATTTGGTTTGCACTCACCACTGCTACAACCCCTCCCCCAAGCCTCAGTTATACAAAATCACCAGATGAAGTCTCTTCTACCGGAGATCACAGATTCTAGGAGATTCTGTTTCCTCAGCTATTACTGATTGGGAAAGAAACAGGGTCAAATTCAACATGGAGGAAACTTGAAAATAGTCAATGAAAACTTTAAATCAGCGATACTGGCACAAATGAGAGAGCTTCAACCTAAGGATTACCTAAAAGAACGGTATTAGTACCAATGAAGAATAATAAAGATCGAGATATCTGTATACTTTTATAAAGACTATCCTCTTGAAAAAGATATTATCTCCTCTTTTTCAGGCCAAATATTGATGAATGAAGAAAAGAAAACAAAGAGAAGAAAAGAAAGAAAAGAAAAGAAAAGAAAAAACCTGCTTATCTCTTCAGAGCTCTCTTCCTAGTCATCACCTTCTGGAGCCACAAACACTGGAAATCGCATCAACTCTGCCTCGAAAACCTCTTCATTAGACTCTCAACCTATTTCTAACTTGAGTCTTGTTCTTTTTAGCTGCAGATTCCTCTATAACCATTATAAGAATGACTTGAATGAAAAAAATCTTAAGTCCCTGGTACCACGGCAGGAAAAGAAACATTTCTGAGAAATTCTGGTGCTGGGAATGCCATGAATTGTAGAAAATCTAGTAGATGCTATGAGTATTTTTTGGCTTCCTTAATTCTAACAAGACATTCCTCTTCTCGTTTTAGTGACAATTTAGGTTAAACTGATCTTTAATCAAATTTAAAAAAAAACAAACAAGTTTCATTTGAAAGTATATGTATATTTGTAACTCTAAAAATTCCTGCAACGAAAAGTCTTCTATTCGGGCTGTGACAAACAGGGTCCTCATACCAGTGACATGCTGATTTCCAGAAGCTGCATTAACCCAAGGCTTTCAGTATTTTCATGTGCCAAGTAAGGGACCGATTCACCTCACGGGATGACTCCTGTCCTAACTCAGAGCTGGGCGCCTCTGCCCTTCTCACCTCCCAGCGACATTACCTGACACGCTGTGCTGCTGGTAGTTGTAGGAAGATGGGATTGCACCAATAGGGAGCTGCGGTTTGGGGTTGCCCGGTGGCACCTCATCGTCATCCTCCCCAAAGTGATGAACTTTCTCGTACTTTTCTAGGTAACTGAAACAGAAAAACAGCACAGCAGAGATTTAAAAACAGATTCATGTTGTATATCTTAACTCCTACCACACAGATCTGTTTTCTTTTAGAAAGGCCGTAAATTTAAAAATATTAACAGGATACCACAAACTTCTTATATTAGTGGAATAGTCACTTCAGCAGTAATATTGGAGACAAACTCAATGCAATAGTTCTAAAAGTGCTTTTAAATGCCTAGAAAAGACCATACTACTGTACAAATAAACATATAAAAGTAAAGACTATCAAAGAACAACTACATGTAGATAAATGACAGCACATTTTATTTACTGATTAAAAAAAATTATACATGGTCATTGTAACAATGATGCATAAATGAGAAGAGTCCCTGGCCTCCCCATCTCACTTATCACATGTGCCTTCAGTATATTTTTTGTGCATATTTTAACAACATATTTTAGAGACCCTGCAGGTCAATACACATAGTACTACTTCAGTCATTTTTAACAGCTGTATAATATATGCTCTGGTTGAGATATCATAATTTTAACTAGATCTCTAGTGTTGTATTTAGCTATGTTCAGTTTTGTTTTTTGCTATTACAGGCCATATAGCAATAAGCTTAATCTCAACACTTGTTTGAATACTTTTCTCTCCATAGACAATGGAAATGGTATGATCACTTTAAATAGGAAATATGACCAAATTCTCACTCAAAAGTGATGTGCCCAAAACATTTTTACCAATTTCTAAGATTGTTTCTCTGTTTCCCACAATATCACCATCACTGGGTATGGTCAATTTTCTTAATATTAATTAGAATTAAATATCCAAATTTATAATCTATCATTACCTACCAGTTTATAATAAGATTCCCACAAGAAAGACTTTTAAATAGGGAAGCAACTGGTCAAACCCCTGTCAAACACAATACTGTACTTAATGAACTTGTTACTATACTTCATAAGAAGCAAGCTGAAAAATACCATAGTGAAGTTCTAGATGAGATCATGTTATAGGTCAGTCTTTCCATCATTCCTGAACCAGGCAGGTATTAAGTTCATTAGTCACTATTTTAAAAGCCCTTTGCTTTTATAGTTAACAGACAGCTGAGATGAGGGAGAGGGGTATCAATGATCTCAAAAGTATTACTTTGTTTTTAGTACCAAACTGTAACTTTCAAGGTAGGATGAATGAAAGTTGTAAGTTTAGGTATGAAAACTAATAGCAAGGATACTCATCACAATTCTTCATTTTTCCCTTCCAGCTTTCCAAGGCACAACAATTCACATCTTGGAGACTTAGAAAGGAAGTAAATTATCCCTTTCAATTCCTTCTAAGCTCTCCATATAAGCTCAGCTTGAGCAAGGAACTCTTTCCTAACTGGTAGCTTGACAGCTAATGAACCCAACACTTTTCTCCACTTCCAGAGATTAAAGCAGACACATATGCCTACATATAACACTTGAGCACTGAGGACAGTATACAGCTGCATACATTTCACCCTGATCCTGGTGATGTACCCTAGCAGATAAAATTTACAGCCAAAACAAAAACATGATTAAAAAGAGACAGTCTCTCTCTAGTATAGATTCATGATAGACTTCTGTATGAGCCATAAATCAAACCTATCCTTTTTGAATTTCTAATGCAAAAATCATCAAAATAAGAGTCTACACAAATTTGGACACAAATAGCTGCTCAAAAATCATGTGACATTTTCTGCAAATGAGGCTTTATCTACATTACATGAAATAGCAATAGCAGAGATAGAGGTATTTTACAAAGTATGTTCTTTCAGAATTGAGCTCACTGTGGAATGGTTAAAAGCAGGTTAAAGATAATTTTTCTTAACTAATTTCATTTAAATAAAAATAACAATGAAAAAGTAAAATTTTAAAATCAAAACCTTATACTAACAATATGTTTAAGATGCTCTTTATAAATCTGTTACTCATTATTAAGTGTATGTGCATGCGAAGCCACTGCAGTAGTCAGATACTACTGCAGCTCTTATGGACTGCAGCCTGATAGGCTCCTCTGTCCATGGGATTCTAAAGGCACCAATACTGGAGTGGGTTGCCATGCCCTCCTCCAGGGGATTTTCCTGACCCAGGGACAGACCCACATCTCTTATGTCTTCTGCCATGGCAGGCAGGTTCTTTACCTGGTAATTCCATAACTGAGCATAGCAGATTTAAAACTTCGGAAGAAAACAACATTATTAGTAAAGAAAAACCATAAATACCTTTTCCTTTCTGGAACACTCAAAACGGAGCATAAGCAAAATGGAGTGACTGGAACAACACAAGCACTAGCAATAAACAGTGTGTGCGATGAACATAAAGCCCCGGTATCACAGCGTTTCCTACGACTGTTACAGTACGCGACTTCTGGTCCCTTGGCTCTTCCAACTCTATTCCTCCAGATGATTCTTCACATAATCCCCATCTCCAGAAATTTACGGCTTAGGCAAATTGTGATAATTTTTGAAATTTTTATTTCCCTGGCTTGAGGGTCAACACTTGTTCTCATTCATGATTAAACATTTCCAACTGAGACTCGACCTTTCATAGTCCAACTGAGGGTTTGGCATCCAGTTCTGATTCTTGTCTCTCTTAATTATTAAGCATAAAGTCCTTTTGTGGTTTTCAAAGAGCTATACTTCTAAAAACTAAATTAATAGACAAGAGAAAGCAGCTAAAATACAAAGCTACATTTCAAAATCTAGGTCTTCAGATTTAATTCTCTAACATGACCCTGAGCTCATATACTGACAGATATACAGTGTTCACTCATTTAACTACAAATATTAGACTACACATTTCTCTTTCTTCTCCAAGTCAATTACATTGCTTTGAATAGTTGATATAGTCTAATCAAACAGGTATTTACAGAGCTCCTTCAGTAATCTACCTAATACATGACATATTTAACTCAACACTAGTAAAATACTGGAATCCAGATGGCACTCTCTCAACAGGCGACACAGAGAACAAGGTTCCTTAGTTCAACATTATGTACAAATTCAGGTGGGATGAATTGTATCTTCTTTTTTTCAACTTGGCCCTAGTTTACTTTGTGATGGATTCTATGCCATACATGACAGATTTAAAGGATGAAAGGCAGATTTAAAGGCAAATATGAACATTTAGCATAATATAGGAATATAGGAATAATATAGGAATGATTTTAAATGGCACTATTCAATTAAAAAGTTTAATATCTAGGACCAATACAGTGGGAGGAAGAGTCCTTTCAAGACAGCATCAAATAACATAGGCAGTACAGTTATGAATGCAGAAAAATATAACCTCTTGTAGTATCTGATAGATTAAGTACACAAAAAACTAGTTCACAGAAGATTTAAATATAATCACCAATAAGACTGATTTATTAGATACACAATGATTTTCTTTTCAAATCTCCACAAAAGCTATTAAACTAATCATAAGCCAAGTCACATAGGAAACCACAATAAATTTAAATTTTGTATAAGGCACATTCTCTAACTGCAATCAATTCAAAGAAATTTAACCCTTGGAAAATTAACAATAACTTTATGATTTTATATAAAAGTAGAGAAACTACTACAATAGTACCCATCAGCAGATATCAAAATTTATGGTAAAAAAAAAAAAAAATTCAGTCAACCTTGTTTCATCTGTAGCACTACTACTATCTTCACAACACTTTCCAGATTATTTTAAAGCAATTCCCAGCTATATCATAACTTTATTTATAAATATTTTGGTATAATTCTTAAAAATTAAAAAATATATGTAATGTTTATACAAAATATATATTTATATACATTTTTATATAAAACTTTTTGAAATGTTTTAGGAAATGATGACAGTTCAAGGAATGCATATTAATCTTTCCTTAAATCCAACTGTAATGAACTTTAAAGAGTAAAAATTGATGGATACTGCATAATTTCTAACTTAGAAATCTTTCAGAAATTCTGGTTTATTAAAAGCAACTTCAAGGATTTATAAGGCTAACTTGCAAAACAATTTTTGAGAGAGTAAGATGGTCTACTGGAAAGTGGAGGATATCTTAAGCAAAAACACATAAAAAGGCAAATTCAATTGGAATTTCCTTTAGCCACTAAGGATCAATAAAATATGAGAGTGTGTCTGATAACAGGATCCAAAGAATGACAAATGTTTAAGAAAAAGTTGAGTTGAACCCAGTGGCTGTCAAAAGAAGCAAAATCCTTTAAACTTCACCTTGAAGCTTGTCAAAATGAACCCAAAGATCCAAGGATGTGGAGCACCTATCAGAAGCACTAGCATGAAAAGACTGGTATCATCAGGTAATGAGACCTCTATTGATGTGGCATACAAGTAACTTTCAAGATGAAGCATCCCAGCACAAAAATCAAGAATACTGACTTGCAAACCAGCAACGTAATGAACGACATTTCTTTGCCCAGGATTACCCCTACAAAGCGGACAATGAAAAAGCAGACTTGACAATGTAAAAGTCACCACAGTAATGTAGACAGCATGCTTGAGAAATGGCTCCTTGAAGAGACGGAAAGGATGAAAACAGTGAGGTGGATAAAAATGAAACAGGCACGATAAACAGGAGGTCAAACATAGGGAGGAAATAGTAGTCCTGAAGGAAAGACCAGAATACATTGACCATAAGCATTATCATTGAGATAAGAGAAGAATTTCTTTAGGTAAAAAGTGCTTAATTGGTGTATCAAAAAGGTTCCTGGGGTGTCAGGGTGCAAGGATCATCAGGCAAAAATTAATGAAAAGAAAAAACACTCAAGACATATATTGATGATATATGCAAGCTCCAAAGATAAAGACAATTCCTAGAAATATCCAGAATGACCCTACTCCTTTGATTATTCTATTCTGTGTCTTATTTACACAGGAAGAGTAATCAAATGGGTTTATTCTCATAGTTAATATTAAGGGAAATATGTTCTTGGAAGTATTTCTGCAACTGTTTAACAACCAAATTAAAGTCAAGATTATTACTTTCCAAATCACAAGAGG